TGGGCTACATGTTTCTGTTAATAATGTTTACATTCAATATTCTGCTGGTTTATTTAAAATACTTGACTTTTAAAATGTCCATGTTGTCATGGCCTGCAGTGTTAGCCCCTGGGAGGCTTGAGACAGGAAGATCATTCGTTCAAGACCAACTTGAACCTCGTAGTAAGAACCTGTCTCCAAAAACTAAAAATGTGGGTGTTGCAGTGGGTGAGGGTGCACACATGCTGTCAAGCCTGCTGACTGGGTGCAGTCCTAGAGCCCACATGGTGGAATGAGAGAACAGACCCCTGCCAGGTGTGCTCTAACCTCGAGATGGAAGGTGTGACGTGCACCCCTCCCCCCCCAAAAAACATGTTACATTTTTAAAATACCAAAATAATTTAGTTTGAATACATTTCTTAACATTATTTTGTTTTCTATAAGTAATGTTTTGTGACAGGCTTTCTGTGTAGCCCTGGCTGGAGTGGAACTCACTGTGTAGACCAGGCTTACCTGGAACTCACAGAGATCTGCCTGCTGAGTGGTGGGATTAAAGGCATGCCACTGTGCCTAGCTAAAAGTAATTTTTTTCATTGTCATAAAATACACCTATGTTAAGATAAAATGTTACTTAGAGACATTTTCAGTTCATCCCGAGTACTGTGCTAGTGCTGTTGCTGTCTGGGTCCAGAGCGTTCCTCAGCACAGGTGGACCCAGTATCCTCATCAGTAGTCAGCTCTCTGTGTCACATCTTCATAGCTCATAGCAAACATTAAAACAAATTCTGTTTTCTGCCAGAAGATACACTTAACCTAGTTGGATATTTCATATACACAGAATCATCATGTGTGGCTTTTCATGTCTGGATTCTTTTACTTAGTATAGTATTTTCAAGGTTTATCTATGTTGTAGCATAAGTCACTGCTATTTATTTATTTACTTATTTATTATGTACACAGTGTTCTGTCTGCTTGTATGCTTGCATGCCAGAAGAGGGCATTAGATCTTATTATAGATGGTTGTGAACCACCATGTGGTTGCTGGGAATTGAACTCAGGACCTCTGGAAAGTGCAGCCAGTGCTCTTAACCTCTGAGCCATCTCTCCAGACCCAAGTCACTGCTTTTTATGGCTGAATAATACTCAAGTTTATGGATGTATAGTTTGTAAAAATCCATTTATCAGTTATTAGATGTTAAAGTTCTTTTACTTTTTTGGCTGTGTCTTAGTTAGGGTTTCTATTGCTGTGAAGAGACACCATGACCATGGCAACTCTTATAAGGGAAAACGCTTAATTGAGGTGATGGCTTAGCGTTTCAGAGGTTCAGTCCATTGTCGTCATGGTGGGACATGGCGGTATGTATGCAGGAGACATGGTGCTAGAGAGATAGCTGAGAGTTCTGTATCTTGCAGGCAACAGGAAGTAGACTCTGTCACACTGAGCATAGCTTGAGAGACCTCTAAGCTTGTCCCCACAGTGACACACTTCCTCCAACAAGGCCACACCCACTCTAACAAAGCCACACCTCCTAAGAGTGCCACTCCCTTAGGAGCTTATGGGGACCAATTACATTTCAAACTACCACAGGCTGTTGTTACAACTAGGGCTGCTAATACATTCATATCTAAGTTTTATTTAAGCACTTACTTCCTGTAAGATATGATGTTTGTTTTTTATCCATTTAAAATATTTTCTAATTTCCCACATGATTTTATTTCACTGTTTAGAGAATATGCATTGTATGATCTTAGTTCTTACAGAGTTAGTTGATGGCAGTGTACAATATATCCTAGAGAACATTGTGTGTTTATACTTGTCAAGGGTGTGTGTGCTGCTGGGCCTAGTTGGTTTATAATGTCAGGTCTGTTACCTTACTGATCTGTTGTGTTTATTGAAAGAAAGGTAATGAATCTCTACATGTTAAATTGTCTTGGCATTTCTGAGTTTTTGCTTTGTGTGTTTTGGGACCTGGTTGACAGGTGCATATAAGCTTATGTTTGTAACTGCATCTTTCTTGTGGGTGGACCTTATCATTTGTCCATATTTTGAAGTTAGGTTGTCTGATGTTGTATAGCCGTTCCAACTTTAAGCTACTGTTTACATGACTTATATTCTCCATCCTTTTTGTTTTAACCTCTTTGTCTTTGACTCTAAAGTGTGTCTCTTACAATAGCATTTAGTTGGAGGTGCTATATATCTGCTGCTGTTTTGAGGTAAGTTTCTCTCTTACGTTCCTTCTGGCCTGGAACTTACAGAGATCTGCCTGCTTCTGCCTTCCATACCTGGCTCCTAAATTATTTTTTAGTAGAATTGAGCACAAGTTCATCTGGAATTTTCTGCCATACTTGGTATAAATTTAGTAATGGAGGGTTTTTAAAGCATGAAATTCTCATTAGCTGGTGTTACTCTTTTTTATTATGTATAGTTTATAGAGTCTTTGGAAGAGACTTTTAGTTTTTGAAATTTTAAAAGCAAAGACAGATTTTCCATCAGGATATTTTTTATGGACTCATAGAAATTAACACAAGAAATTCAGCCAAGTAAACAATGTGTTTCCATTTTTCACTGGTATAATTTGAGGCTCCATTTAAATTCCCTGAGAGAAAATAGTTAACATTTTAGAAGATGGTAATTGTTCTCAAGATACTATTTCTATGACTGGTAACTTTCTGTGCTTTCACTTAGCAGAGCAGATGGGACGGGCATGGTGACTCCCACCTTTAATCCCAGCACTCTTGAGTTCGAGGCCAGCCTAGTCTACAGATAAGATATGTAGAGTAGCTCTGGGGACAGCTTCATTTCACAGAAGCATGGTCTACTGTGACATTTTGAAGACTGTCAGCTCTGTAGGCCAGTTGTTTCTCCCACCTGTGTGTGCTTTAAATAACCGTTTTCATCTCCTCGGTACTGCTAAGTCAGCGCCAAACAGCAGTCACTTCATGTGCAGTGTTGTCAGGGATTAGAAAGTAGGGGTCTGGAAAGATGGCTCAGCAGTTAAGAGTGGACACTGGCTGCCTAGGTTTGAGCCGCAGCACAGACATCACAACTGACAGCTGTCTGTAACTCCAGTTCCAGGGAGATGTGATGCCCTCTCCTGACCTCTTGAGCACTACATACCATGGTACACAGACAGACCTGGCTAGAGAGATGCCTCAGTGGTTAAGAGCATTGCTGTTCTTCCATAGGACCCAGGATCAATTCCCAGCACCCACATGGCAGCTCACAACTGTCTGTGGCTCCAATGCCCTCATACAGACATGCAGGCGAAATACCCACACACATAAAACAATGATACGATTAAGAAAGAAGCCATATACAACTTATGAACAGCATAGTGTCCAACAGTATATTGGTTTAGGAATCTGGGGCTTGATGTCATGTACGTCTCCTGAGGGATACGCTCTTTCCCTGAAAAGTTATTTGGTGGAGTGCTTAAGCAAGTGGGTGGTTGGGATCTGCGTACCCTGCCCTGCGTCATCCCCATCTCGACACACACATTGACACTATTATAAAAGCCCTCTGCCTATATTCTCCAGATCAAAGTGAATCTGAAGCTCAAGCTGCATATCTTCCACCAGTAGGGCCGTCTGTCAGATGTTCCCCTCAGTCAGTCTGTGCCTGGTAACTTTTGTGTGTTCCTCTTAGCTTTTTGCTCACCTGACTACTCAGGTTAGTTGGATGAGCTTCTTGAACTGCACAGTGCTTATTCTTGCTCACACTGTTTGTAGCCCACCCAGTGCCCAGTATGAAAACAGGTACCAAACAACCTGTACTGTCAGCAAAGCTCAACAGTTTAATTTGTCACATCATCCAGGCTGTGTTTTAGCATGTTTGTGCTCCAAAGCAAAATTTATTATGGGGTTTTGTTTGTTTTTCAATGCAGGGTTTCTCTGTGTCAGCCTGGATGTCCTGGAACTCAGTCCATAGACCAGGCTGGGCTTGAACTCACAGAGATCCATTTGTCTCTGACTCCTGAGTGCTTGCGCTACCACCCAGCTATGATTAAAAATAAGAGACTCTAGCCACACTTTCTCCATATGCTGCTGTAATTTTGACTTGCAGTCACAGTGCTGTCAAAAGTGCAGGTCACATGGTGCTTCTTGGTATCAGGCTCGCCCACCTGTCGGCTTTATTTGCTCTGCTGTACAGACCTTCCTCTCTCAGGCTCTGGCTTGTACAGTTTGGTCTGTTCTCCAAGTGTACTGCTTTCCATTTTAATTTGCTGCTCTGCTTGTGTGTGTGTGTGTGTGTGTGTGTGTGTGTGTGTGTGTGTAAAACCTGTGGGAGTCTAGTTTTTTTATTTTTCCACCTTCTATCACATGGGTACTCAGGTCGCAGTTGACGGCAAGCACTGTTACCTGCTGAACCATCTTGCCAGATCCCCTACTCCAGTTTTATAGGAGACGTGATTTTTAAAACCGGTATGAGCACACTGCCTACTCATCGTGAGCCTGTGATTAGGCGACCCTAGGGGTGAAGTTGAGGTAGTCTGGTAGTATGGGGGAAGGAACCCTGATACCTTAGGGTCACTCTGACTGATGAGTGATGCACAGTGATGAACTGCGGCTGAGGAGACCCTGCCACTGTGATGACCACTCCATGACCGAGAGTGGTCTGGGAGCAGGGGAGAGTCCCCTGGCCTACAGGTTCACAGCAGTCTACCAAGGACTGGAGATGGGAACTGAGCAGAAACCATAGACACCGATTACTGGTTTGCTTTCTGACACATCCCAGGACCATCTGCCTGTGGGAGCCTGAGCCCTCCCACAGTAATCCAATGGAGGCATTTTTATGGATTGACTTCCCCTTCCCAGATAACTGTGGCTTGTCTCAAGTTGAAAAAAGCCAATCAGGACAAAAACCAAACTATAAAAGGTGTTTTTTTTTGTTGTTGTTGTTTTTTTTTTTTTAGAAACAATTGCCAACTCAAGCTGATCAGAGAGGTGTGTTTTTACTAAAGTGTTATTCAGGGTATGATTTTATAGGCATTATTTTGCTTTTATTTTACTTTCCTACACAGCTGGTATATGAATTCTTCTTGAGATTCTTGGAGAGCCCTGACTTCCAGCCCAGCATTGCAAAGCGATACATTGATCAGAAGTTTGTACAACAGGTAAGGGACTCCTAGATCTCAGATCTTCCTGTCCTAGCACTTGCTTTTTAAGACGAGTCCCTCAAAACATAAGTAACTTAAAAGTATTAGTAATTGTTCTTGACAAACAAAATAAGAGCAGCTTGAGGGGTTGGCAAGATGACTCGGGTCAAAGCCCCTCCTGCTTTTCCAGAGGCTCTGTGTTCAAGTCTCGGCATCCACACAGGGCCCCTCACAAAAGCCTGCTAACTCCAGTCTCAGGGGAGCAGGTGGTCTTCTGACCTGCACAGGTCACACTTTTTTTTTTTAAGTAGCTTTCAGAAATTAAGAGTTTTGTATCAAGAGTGAGCACCCAATGAAATCAAACTGCCCTTTCTGCAGTTTCTCAAAAGTTTGGGGTGACCATTTCATCTAAGGGTGTTTAACTTCTGTGTTAAACACCTGTGACTTCGAGCTGACAGGGAGGGATGATCTGAGTGCCTTTCTGGGTACCCAGCATCAGTCGCCTGTCATTCCTGTCCTAGCGCCACAGGGGAAATAAAATGGGACCAGTAAAGAGAGGAATGACTTCTTGGTTTTTAGAAACTGGTATTAACTCTAATTCCAGAACTTACATGCAATTAATTTCTGAGAATGTGTCCATTTGTTTTTATGGTCAAGAGCTTTTAAGACAGTTTTATAGCCTTTTAATCACTGAAATTGTCTGCCCCTAAACAGAACTGTAAAGTAACCCAAACCGTTTCTCTATCCATTTTCTCTTTTAAAGCCATTATCAGTTAGGAATTTGATGCTGAGGGCACATTTGAACTCTGTTATGAGGACCTTTCAGAGCACTGTCAGGTGTTCTGGATGTTAGAGTCCACATATTCAGAACTGTCCCTTCATAAATTACACAAGATTATGTGTTCTTTAACAGTACAATATACACTTCAGGCATGAATAAAATCAGCCAAATTAAAGTGGGGTCTTTGGGGCTATTGAAGAGGAAGGCACATTTATTTTCTTGTATGTTTCTCACGCACTCAGCACCTAGGGAAGCCACACACATTAAATAACAGCCTGGTGCTCTGGGCACTCAGAAAGCTGGGCTTTTCTGGGGTGTGAGGGGGAACCATTTCTACCTCTACCCCAAACTCTGTGGGAAGCCAAGACAATAATCTTACTCTGACAGGTCTGTGTGCTGCCTACAGTTGCCTCTGGGGGATTGGGGGCTGCGTCTGTAAACTGCTCTAGGAAAATTCTCAGCTTTTGAAAGTTTGAAAACTCAGAATGGGAGGCAGGACGCTGCATAATTTAAATTTGTTCAAATCAGAGAATCTCCAAAGAAAACTAAGATGTATTCATGGTTTTTTTGTGACATGGAACCTATCATTTGAATATGTCAAGCTTGTTGTAAAGAAAGCCCATATCCAGTGCCACACAGCTAGTAAATGGCAGAGTCTGGATTTGAACTAGAGCAGTGGTTTTCAACCTTCCTAATGCTGCGACAGTTTAATACAGTTCCCCAGGTTGTGCTGACTCCCAACCATAAAATGATTTCACTGCTGCTACTATTATGAATAACGTAACTATTTAGTATGTAGTACATCTGCTAGGAGACCTCAAGGGTGTCACGACCCATGCGTCGAGAATTGCTGAACTAGACCCTCCGAGCTTGATGAATTACTCTTAATAGTTTGAGGGCAACAGAGCCAGAAAAAGCGGGTTTCCTGATATGAATATGACATTTCTAATTGGATTTATTTAGTTATAAGAGTCTAGCTAACAAGCACCCTCAAACTTAGTATTTCCCTTAGAGATCAATCTATTTTGAACAAAATCATCTTTCAAGTAAACCAACATCAGAAACAGGAGGTTAAGGTTAAAATGAGAAGTTTAGGCATTTTTAACTATAATAACTTGGATCAGTGCTTCTGTTCCATAGGTATTTCTTGCTGTAGCCTCATGCAGTACTGTAATCTAGCCAAAAATGAGTGCAAACCACAAGCAAGTCATTTGTGTAGGGCACGTGAGTGTGACTTACCGCTACCTCAGAAATTCTACTTGGGTTTGAAATCTCCACATAATTAAGACAAAATGGAGTCAGAGCATCTGGTGAGAGCTTGTCACCTGTCTTGTAAAACCCAGCATCACAGTTCAGAATGTAAGGTTCCATGCAGTTTGATAGACCATGTGTCTTTGCATATGGGCTTGCTATTTGAGACAGTCTAACCACTGTGTAGGTCAGGCTGGCCTCCCAGGATGAGTACTTGGGAGGTAAAGGCAGAAGGATTACAAGTTCAACTAGCCTGGCCACATAATGGGTCGCTGTCTCAAAAAACATTTTTAAACATCTCTCAAATTTTCACACTAAAAATTAGGTTAGGAAAGAATTTTAAAGTCACTGGCAAGGTTAAAAAAAATCTTATTTTTATATTCTTTAAAATGACATAAAGACTGTATAAAGATGAATTTACTGAAAATATTCATGCTTGTTTTGGTTACTTGGCAGAATATTTAGAAAAATGTTAAATATTTCATTGGTTATAAAAAATAGCAGTTTTAGCTCGATTATTTTTTTAAAGTAATTTGTCAGATTTTTTTTCAAGCTCCTGGAGCTTTTTGATAGTGAAGATCCCAGAGAGCGCGACTTCCTGAAGACAGTCCTGCATCGGATTTATGGGAAGTTCCTGGGGCTGAGAGCGTTCATCAGGAAGCAGATTAACAACATCTTCCTCAGGTAAGCTCGCCATGGAGCGCATTCGCCCCCCCCCCCCCCGCCCGCCCCTGAGTCTTCCTTTAACTAAGCGCCTGACCTAGCTGGTGGTGTCTCAGTCATTCCTACCCGTTTTGTGGTTCTCACTTGGGACAGCTTCACATTTTGAAGCAATGCCACCTCCTTTTCTAGGTTGGCAGTGATAATGAGGACAGTGTTTGCTATGAAGTCAACACCTGTAGAAGTGCTTTTTTTCTGACAAAGCTAATTAAAATCCATATGGGACTGTGGTTTAAACACTTGTGAAACATTTGCATGAATGCCTGTGTTTCAGGTTTATTCTCCTTGTCTCTATTAATTGAAGACAAGAATTAGGCAAGTGTTGGAGATGAGTGGTGCCCCCCTCCCATGTCAGGGTTCCATCCAGTCATCTACTGTAGCCCTTCGTGCTGGCATTTGCTTTCAAGGCAGGCCTGATAATAGAAAACTGGATAGCCTATGTCATTTACAATCTAGGAAAATTCTGAAAGTTGAAAGTTTTTCCTGGGATAGTCATGTGAGTAGTAGTTACCTAATTTGAGAAGGTCTCTTTGAGCATTCCTTCCTTACATATGGAGTAAAATATAACAATCCTGAGGAAAGGAGATTGTTATTCTCAAGTGGCAAATTTTAGGTGTATGTGACTCGAGGAAATACATCAAAAAGTCAAGATTAGCTACACATAGCAAGCTTGAAGACAGTTTGGGATGCTTGAGACCCCGTCTCATAAAAGAGAGAGAGAGTGGTGTGAACAAAATGCCTAAGGGCTGAACAGTTCCAGAGAAACCTGTCACTGCTTCTGACGTTGGCTTGGTTTCTTCACTGTGTTTACATTTTATTATATCTGCCTTTATTTCAAATTCAGGTTTATATATGAAACAGAACATTTCAATGGTGTGGCTGAACTCCTTGAGATATTAGGAAGGTAGGTATGGGGGTGTTTGTTTGTTTTAAGAGACTGGCAATCCCAGGCTCTACTTTCTTTTTTATTATTTAGATTTTATTTATTTATTATGTATATAGTCTTCTGCCTGCATGCCAGCAGAGGGTACCAAATCTCATTCAAGGTTGTTGTGAGCCACCATGTGGTTGCTGGGAATTGAACTCTGGACCTCTGGAAGAACAGTCAGTGCTCTTAACCGCTGAGCCATCTCTCCAGCCCCCTGGGTTTTTGTTTTTTTTGTTTTTTTTGTTTTTTTTTTAAGAATTAAGTTACTACATGTTTTATGTACTAAACAGCTGGAGTTGGGGGGAAAAAAAACAAATGCCCATATTTTTAGAGTTTAGAGCACAATGCTAGAGGTCCTGGGTTCAACCCCCAACAACAGAGCATAAGACAGTTTTAGGGCCTTGGCATATCAAGTACTGCCTTCTCCCTTTGGAGCTGTGGTGCGTATGCCACAGATATTTTCAGGCTCCAGCTAGAAAGGTATGGAAATTGTCATTTCATCAAACATTCACGAGAACTGCTGATGGAAAAGAACGGCTAGATTAGGAAGAACCTTTAGTCTTTGGTTTTATAACACATTTCCTTTCTGTTTACTACACAGAATGATAGAATCCATTCCAGGTTATTCAAAACTGTAGGAGAAACTCCCCACTTGGAACATGTTGGAATTCTATAGCAGGCTCTCTCTTCCTGCTTTTTGGAGGAAAAATAAATGAAGGCATGCAGAGTTCAGATGACAGGCTACACACTGCCCCGTAGGAGCAGAGCCCAGCCGCCGCCTGCCTTCCACTCCCGCACAGACAGTGACAACTTAACCCTTCCCCTGCCTTTTCTCCCTCCAGTATCATCAATGGCTTTGCATTGCCGCTGAAAGCAGAACATAAGCAATTTCTAATGAAGGTTCTTATTCCTATGCATACTGCAAAAGGACTGGCTTTGTTTCATGCTCAGGTAAGATTCACAAGTGTGGCAAGTGAAATCAGTAGTTAATAATAAAGGCAAAGAATTTGAGAAATACTAAGATACTAGTGTTGTGTCTTAACTTGGGAATTTTATGAGTTTATTTACTACTAGTACAGTTGTAAGTAGACATAGAAGGCCGTGGTGGTGCACACACTTTTAATCCCAGCACTTGGGAGGCTGAGGCCAGCCTGGTCTACACACAGAAACCTTGTCTCAAAAAACAAACAAGACATATAAGTTTGCTTATACTCAGGTCCAGGACCTAAACTAAAACTACTTTGTTGCATGACCCTGAATGAATCTTATGCATCAAACCCTAAGGACCTGTTAGAAAGGTCTTGGTTGCTGCTAATCTTAGACCAGTGGTTCTCAACCTCCTAACACTCCCACCCTTCCTTTAATGCATAGCCTCAAGTTGTGCTGACACAATGATTTGCATTGCTGCTGTAACAAATTGTAACATCTGGTATGCAACCCCCAAAGGGGTCATGACCTACAGATTGAGAACCACTGTCTTAGAGGATATCTGCATATTTCATATTCACAGATAAGCACTGGAATACTAAGTGGGTATTGTAAAGTTAACCAAGTCTAGAGCTGACAATTTGTTGAATTTAGAACTTAAAGATCAAAAGTTTAAATTATGAATATATTCATCTCAACTACAACTAAAAACTGAAGTGCCATTTTGTGAAAATGTTCTGTATCCCTCAATGTCACTTCACCGATATCTCTTAAACTTGTCTCTGCCCTTCAGCTGGCGTACTGTGTCGTGCAGTTCCTGGAGAAAGACACCACACTGACAGAGCCTGTAAGTGTCCAGTCCCTGCTCATGCACTTGGTCTGTCACATAGTAGGGACAGCTTCAGGGAGGCAGGGAAGGGAGCATGCTCACAAGGAATTGAGTGGACGGATAGTTAAAGGTGTGTGGCAAGATGTAGAGACTGCAGTGAACTGGAATCCCAGAACCATCCCTTGAGCGTATGTTCAGAAGTAAAACACTGACTGTTCCCTCATCTTTTGCAGCCTGATTGCAGATTGAAAATGATTGAGTTAGGTTGAGGACAGAAGCATAATGAACTTCGGCACTGGCATATCTGTATATATTACCTAGACTGGCTTCCAGCTCCCTATGGTTCTTCTGTCTCAGCGCCCTAAATAAATGCTGGGATTTTGAGCTCCCCGATTAAACATATAAACCATTGCAAATACGAATGTTCCGGTAGAATGCTTTCTAAGCATTTTAAATACAGAGACTGGAGGATTAAAATTCAACAATTTTAGGCTAACCCAAGAGGTGCTTAAAAATGTCTATACATGGTATTCATCTTTCACTTGAAAAGTAGTTGCAGTATCACAACTGAAAACAAAGTTTAAAGATAAATCAGAATTAGAAGTTTTGTGGTACACATGAAACAAGCACTCAAAACTACAAGATTAAGTCATGATGGCTCACACCTAGTAAACATAAAATATAACTTAATGTGGGGTGAATAAAGAAGATTAAGGAGTTTTTAAGGTTATATAGGTGTTTGTTTTTCCTTTTAACCACCCTGGCATTTCTAGTATTAATGCACTATCGGATTAGTAAAATTTCTTTAACTGTTTGTTGAAATATATGGTCCCCTTTTAATATATATGGTCCCCTTTTAATATTTTATACCTTGATTTTATCAGCCAAGAAATAATTTGGGAACCCTGGCTTTCAAAATGTGTACTGTATAAGTTTAGATAATGGGAAATTGTTCTTTAAGATTACCTTAAAGAGCTAAAGCTTGAGCTCAGGTTGTGTACTGTGCTGGCAACCTCCTAGTGGAAGGCAGAGATCAGTAATCCAAGGTCACTCTCTGCTACGCTATGTCCTGAAAACAAAACTTTCTTGTAAAATAACCTCCCCCCCCCCATCAGGTTGCATTTCATTTTCTCATGTTATAATTGGTCATATGTGTTGATCTCCTTCCATTAGAATGTAGGTAGAGACTCCATCTGCTCATCTGTGTCCAGTGTCATGTCCCAGGCCCTCGGTCTGTATTTATTTGTTGAATTAGACAAAGTGTGAAGCCAAGTAAGAATTTTCATGAACTAATCCTTCAGAATGAGGAAATACCCTGACATTAGCTAGTAGGGAGGCTAGCTACTCCCTACTGAGTAGGGAGTCCCTACTGGACAGGCTGTCCTCCAAGTCCTGTAACCCCAAGGTCTGGGATTACAGACTTGCATCACCACACCTAACTGCTCAGTTCATCCTAAACTTGGTTGTTTCTTGTAGGTGATCAGAGGACTGCTGAAATTTTGGCCAAAAACATGCAGTCAGAAAGAGGTAGGTTTTTGTTTTGTTTTTTTTTTTTTTCGAAACAGGGTTTCTCTGTGGCTTTGGAGGCTGTCCTGGAACTAGCTCATGTAGACCAGGCTGGTCTCGAACTCAGAGATCCACCTGCCTCTGCCTCTGGAGTGCTGTGATTAAAGGTGTGCGCCAGCAATGCCCGCAAAGAGGTAGGTTTTAATAAATGCATTTTAGTCAGACTTTGCAATCTTACCCTGGTCCAGAGTGGGAGGAGCAGGGAGACAGCACAGCCCTGAACAGTGTCCACGTCCTAACATGAAGTTGTACCTTGTCTGTATTAGCATCATTTGTTGTAAAATTTTTAAGTTTTTTTTTTTTTTTAAATCTAGGTGATGTTTTTAGGAGAAATTGAAGAAATCTTAGATGTCATTGAACCAACACAATTCAAAAAAATTGAAGAGCCACTTTTTAAGCAAATATCCAAGTGTGTCTCCAGTTCTCATTTTCAGGTAACATCTCCCTTCTTTGGTGACATCATGATTTTGTACTGTGCTTTTTCCCTGTAAATTCTGACATTTCTGATATCTTTTGTAGGTTGCAGAAAGAGCACTGTACTTCTGGAATAATGAATATATTCTTAGTTTAATTGAAGAGAATATTGATAAAATTCTGCCAATTATGTTTGCCAGTCTGTATAAAATTTCCAAAGAACACTGGAATCAGTAAGTTTTTGTTTTAACCATTTGAAACCTGTGCTGCAGGCTAGTGTCACAGTTTTAGATATTAAAGTTGTATGTGGATGTCCCTCAGCAAATGGTCCTACCAAGTGTGGATGAGTGCCCCTGTGGAAACAGTGTGGCTGAGCTGCACCTGGCCTCCCCCAGCTAGGAGCTGAAGACTACAGCCGTGACATTTTTGTCTTACTACCCAGGGTTTCAGATGAGACACACATGAAGAGAACCAGAACATTCTTAGCTATAAACCTCAGCATAACATGGGAAGGCCGTAAGCTTTGGAATCAGATCACACAGGCACCTCTGGCCAGAGTTACATCATCTAAGGCTAATCACGTGCTCAGCTGACACCAGCCCAATTCAGAGATGAAAGCAGTGTTTCCCAGCTGCTGGCCTCTAACCCACAACTGGCTTCTTTTCATCAGGACCATTGTAGCACTTGTGTACAACGTGCTGAAAACCCTGATGGAGATGAACGGCAAGCTCTTTGATGATCTCACTAGTTCCTACAAAGCCGAGAGACAGAGGTACTTGAGACATTGTGTGATTCAGCTGAGAAAGGTCTACCGCTTTGTTGTAGGAGTGATGGTGAATACATTAGGCATTGCAACTTGAAAGCCTCTGACAGTAAAGCCGTTGCCCAGTAAAGTAATCCTGGTATTTTAAGTTTAAGGGTGACATGATTTTCCTCCACTAATGGCTCGATTGTGGTTTTTCTGTTGATCTCATGCTGAACCTTAAGCTGGTAGCATGTACACTGTAATTTACACAAACCGTTTTGTCCGCACTGACTTCCCTCACAGTTTGGCAGTTCCAGTGCTGTGGATACTGCCACAGCTCTGGCTTAGGGTGACAGTTATCTGGTGTTCCATCTTTAGGAACATGCCTTAGTGACTAATGCCTCATCATACAAGGTGGGCAGTAACTATTCCGTCCATCAAGGCTACCACTTGCTATTTTGTTTACATAGAAGAGATCCAGCCCTCAGCAGGGCATAGTGGGTCAGCCTTTGATCCCAGGACTCTGGAAGAATAGGCAGGTGGATCTCTGTGACTCTGAGGATAGGACTATATAGTTGAGACTCTGTCAAACAAAGCAACAGGTAGAAAGAGGTGAAGAGAGCTGTAGAAATAAAAGCCCATGTTTACGTGTTTATAGCCTGTACCCCAAGTGAACATCAACTTATGGTTGGGTTGAAGCACCATTCTATAGGCATGAGAAGGGGAGCAGCTTCTGCTTGCCCGTCCAGGGCCCAAGTGTTAGCGCTGACCTAGAGGCACTCTAGTGACTATGGTGAATTAATCCCATGTGTGGTCATCTAGGCAAGCCGACAAAAAATGAGGTATCACTGTCTGCCAATGAGCGACTTCCGTGAGCTTCTGATTAAAACTGTTGGTTTCTCCTCAGAGAGAAAAAGAAGGAATTGGAACGTGAAGAATTATGGAAAAAATTAGAAGAGCTGAAGCTGAAGAAAGCTCTGGAAAAACAGAACAGTGCTTACACCGAGCACGGTATTCTCGAATGCAACACAAATGCCAGCTAAAGAGCCACTCCCACCACTGCTGGGCGGACAGCTCCGTACACAAAATCTTCCAAGCAAACCTCATCAGTATAATATAGTTAGGAGGCCAGTTTTCCTGGCAAATGTAAAGCGAAAGAAATCTGGACTAAACATAGCCCTGTGCTGTTTTGTGGCCACAGTACATTGTAACCTTTGTCTAAATCATCGACTTTGTCACTTTATCATCTGTTGTGAGGGGGGGCGATTGTAGGAGTGGCAAGAATCACGACCTGAACTCTCATTGTGCTGCGCGCAGATCAGGTCATCCTCTGTGCTTTCTTTCACAGGACTGCAGGCCTTGGTTACACCTGGGAAAGAACTGAGGTAAACTGAGGTGTTGTCCTCCCTGAGCCTCTCCTAGAGAGGTGGTGGGGTAGAAGCCCAGCCTCTTTAAAGATACTGCCATACTCTGGGTTTTGCAACACCTTAGTTTTCCAGGCTTCTGAAGCCCAAAGTATTAAAGCTGAGGGAAAGAAACCAAAATTCTGACTGTTCCCAAATACCCCCTTCAGCAGCAGCGCCCCAGAGTGGGTGGACCCTAGGCTCACCTTGCCTTCATTCCCCTCCTCTCCAAGGCTGGAGGCAGGGCCTTCCCAGTCCTCGACTGCCCGACCCCAGGCCTGCCTGCAGGGTGGAGGCTCTGAGTCCCACAGTGTGATGCAGACTGCTAGCTGTCACCACCTGGCTTTAGGAGATGCACTGACTGTAGAAGCCTGGTGTGTTCCTACCTGGTCAGGTGTTTTCTCCCAGGTCGTTATCAGTACCATTCCAGCCTCTTGCCTCGCCACTGTATGGAAACTGTTTTATAGCGGACGCTCTTCACTGGGGATTGAGCACCATTTAATAAAGTCTATGTTTGTATTTTGCCTTATGTCACCTGCTCTTTTATATCTGGGAGACAGTTACAGAAAATCACAACTTGTGGATGTGGCTAATTAAAATTAGGATGTTTGTGGTCCATGGATTCGTAATCTAGCCGTTTTTCAAAAACCCCACGCTTAATCTCAATCTACAACAGCAGCAGTTCTGTGAGGGACTGGCAGATTGTAATGTGGTTTCAACTAAACATTGGTTAAAAATAAGCACGGGATTCTTGCTGCTCTGATAGCAACCTAGGCAGCCTCCATGACCCTGGAAAGGCCTTCCACTCACACAAGCTGCTTCAATGAGGCCCATTTCATTATTTAACTATTAAAGTGATGTGCCAGTTAAGAGTTTCGTAACCAGGGCCTCGCATACTAACCACACATCCTATCACGGGGGCTGTATTCTCGCCCCTAGACGTGAAGCCTTCAGCTTGTTTTTCATGTTGATGCGTTTATGCTTGGCATTTGTACTATAATGGTATTTTATAAAAAAATTTAGTCCAAAAATCTAAATTCTTATACAGCTACGAAACAGAAAGGTAGTAGGGAATATTTCATTATACAAGTTTATTTCTAGGGATTCGGCCAAAACAGTTTCTTGCTGCTAAATTTGGAGACAAAGATGCCTTCCTTATATACATATGAGCAAGTTCCCTTCCGGTTCCCCAAGGCCAAACTGTGAATTTTTTTAATGTTACCATAGTCCCTCTGGTCACACAATTTGGAAAAGACAGGGTTTGGGTTTATGTAAGTGCTTAAAGGCCACCCTGTCAGGTGAGTGTCTCTGTAGGACACAGTGACATATTGAGCAGCTTATTCACAGTGTGGTACGTCCAGCTTACCTTCCCTGGAAGCAGTGATGACATACCTCAGGGGTCAGAGCCATCGTGGTCCAGTCCAGACTCACACTACCATAGCATGAACAAGTCCAGGATTGGTGCCTGTTGGTTTACTGGGCATTCACACTCATTCCTTTTGTATTAGCCCAACTTTATTTACCTGTTAATGAAATCAAGATACACTAAGTAGGTATAAATCTATGCTAGCGCTTCCAGCAATGACCACTGAGCTCACACCACTGTCCACACAGTCCATCAGAAATGTAATCGCTAGTTTCTAGTAGCCTTTAAAAGTCTCGTGTAAGGCTGGGCGAGGCGGTGCAGGCTTTTTATTCCAGGCAATGCCAAAGTAGCAGGAGGCCTGGTCTACACAGTGAGTTCCACTGGGGGGGGGGGGGGGGGGGGGGGGGGGGGGGGCTACGTTTAAAATAGTCTCATCTAGGAGCTGACAAGTTCTTGTTATGTAACAACAGTGGATGGTGTAAAAGTCATGAGAAATTTTGTATACAGGGTATACCTGTCCACTTTAAAACAAAACTAAGATAAAGAGGGAGTCTTAACCTGGAGCTTAACTATTTAATGGACAAATAGGAAGATGCTGCCTTCAACAACCCCCTCTCCAAGACACTAGACAGCTCTGTAAAATGTCTGTTAATAATTTAAGGATTTAAATAAGGTTCAGGTTTCACTGGGTGTTTGCCTGTGGGCTCAGAACAGCCTCCTTGTGGGCCAGGTTTGACCGTCCAGTTTGAAAGACTGTCCTTCCCTGCAAGGTCCTTTCAAGTGAGCACAGGATTGCTGGTGGCTGGGTGTGTCGATGGGAGGACAAGGCTTCCGTCAGGTGAGAGCGCTGTGACACGGCTTCAGCTTATGTGGTTTGTTGCCTGGCCTCTTCTTTTTAGGTATCGTTTCCTGATTTTGATCATCCACTTCACACTCAGTTTGGCAAACTCGGCTGCTTTAAATAATGCAAGGAAAGCCCCACAGAGGAGTGCGATGGTGTTCCAAGGATTGGCCGTGATTATCTATAGAACACAAACAAAAATGGGGTTGGTTGGTTTGCATTGATGTTGACTCTGTGTTCTGGATGTTGGAGCCACAGGGACATGTGTGTTCTGTTCATTCAGACTTAATGGGAGCTGGTCGGGAGGGAACTATGAGCCCTGCCATATAAGTAACTGAGATCCTTCTCAGAACTGTACAAGTAAGACACTTGGGCTCAGCTTTAATTTAGTGACATGGTCCCTACAAGTGACTCAAATTTCCCTAAAGTCCTTCTCATCTCAGTTCCCTGTTTCCAGCAGTGCCCCCCCCCCCATCTGCCACCAGGCCTCTGCTCCTTCCCTCCCCCTGCTGGGGTGTTGTCCTGTCTGGACTTACTAACCCTTCCAACTCAGCACTTTCTCCAGCCACTCAGCCAAAAACCTTTCTTTAGCAAAAGTAGTTTATCCTACAGAGCCCTGTGACAGCTGTTTGCTGTCTAGCAATGATTTAAAGCAATAGCTTTGTCCCCATTAAAAGCTGTCTTACCCCCATGAAGTGCTAACGGATGGACTCGGCCTTGTGCATGATGGGGAAACATGCTTCCATGGACTTCATCTCCCTCACCAAACTAAGGCAGAATTTGTACATTTTGGAAGTCCCACGTGTGGCTTAGAAAAAAGCACTTGTAAGCCTGGTTCAGTGGAGTGGTTTAAGACAGGGTGAGCCCCTGTTCTCATACATGCAGTGACCGTACCTCTGCCTTCAGGACTGCTGTGACACATGACTCAAGGGCTTTAAGGGCTCTACTTGGACCAAAATAAGCCTCTCATAACGGGGTAGCTTGGCTTGAAGACACTGGCATACACACTTAACACGCACAGCCATGAACTAGTTCCTTTCACCCGAGTTGTCTTAGCCTCAAGCCTTCACCCCTTATACAGAGTCCTGGGTGACAGCAAAATAAATCCATTTCACTGACTCCATCCTGGGATCTGAAGTGTCCACATGTGAGCTTTGGACTCTGCCGTTGCTGTGATCACTTCAGGACGTCTGTGATAAGCTGAGGAAGACCACTCTTCGCATACTTACATCCTGGACCTTCTGGATGAAGGGATCTTTCCATTCGAAGACCACAAAGAACAACTGAGTGTTTTTCTCGGCAGCAGGCCTCTGGTCAATATAATTAACCACGCTGGTCTAAGGTGGGACAGACAGAGAATTAGCCCTTCTGGACCCGGGAAGTAAGAGCTTCCGGAAGGGACTCAGCCAATGGCTCTCCTAACATTTTCTGGAGAAACAAAGTCAAGACTCTTATACAAGCCCTTTTCACAGGTACAAGAGCCAGCTGGGGCTTTATGGTTCTTGGATAGAGAAAAGACTGCAATGCCTGATAGTGTTTTGAATTATTACCAATATCTGCCATCAGATGTCAAGACTCACAATTAAGCCATATTCCCAATTTTTTTTTTTTTTTTTTTGGTTTTTCGAGACAAGGTTTCCCTGTGGCTTTGGAGGCTGTCCTGGAACTAGCTCTTGTAGACCAGGCTGGTCTGGAACTCACAGAGATCCCCTGCCTCTGCCTCCTGAGTGCTGGGATTAAAGTCGTGCACCACCACTGCCCGGCTCCCAAATTTCAAAGTACTTGGGTCTTAAGAGAGAAGCAGTCTAACGCTTCAAGTCTTTTTAAATACTTAGGCATACATGATAAGATCAGGCAATCAACTGTAAAGCATCGTGAAACAGTGGTGGAAAGAAGGCTCAAGGCTCAGGCCACCTCTGATCTGATGCTCACAGTGGCCACAGGAAGACTACGCTGAGGCTTACAGCAGGGCTGCCCGTGAAGTGACGAAGGACACCCCAAGCGTGGTGGGACTGGACAGTCATCTTACAATAGCATTTTGTAGTCTTGTTTTCAGGGTTTGTCACCACCTAAGGTGGGAAAACTCCCGCCCCTTGACTAAACCTAGGTGCCAGGGTCCCACATGCACACAGAGGACACAGCAAGAAGTCACTTCAGCAGAGGCAGGACTAGGTGGTTCTTGCTCCCGAGGAAGCAAGCAGATCCCTTTCCATACCACAGCCATGCCTTTTCTGTCTTCCCAGGATCCTCCTGCCTCAACATCCAGCATGCTCCTGGCTCCCAGCTAAGGGACCAAAAGCTTTCTGACAAAAAGGAGGCCCATCTCCTCCTCCTGCATCCTAACAGGCCATCACACCCATGCTGTGCCTGGTCCCCTCATCCCCCCAATCCCTGTGCCCGGTCCCCTCACCCCCCACAATCCCTGTGCTTGGTCCCCTCACCCCCCGCAACCCGTGCTTGGTCCCCTCACCCCCCCAACCTCTGTGCCCGGTCCCCTCACCCCCCACAATCCCTGTGCTTGGTCCCCTCACCCCCCACAACCCGTGCTTGGTCCCCTCACCCCCCACAACCCGTGCTTGGTCCCCTCACCCCCCACAACCCGTGCTTGGTCCCCTCACCCCCCACAACCCGTGCTTGGTCCCCTCACCCCCCACAACCCGTGCTTGGTCCCCTCACCCCCCACAACCCGTGCTTGGTCCCCTCACCCCCCACAACCCGTGCTTGGTCCCCTCACCCCCCACAACCCGTGCTTGGTCCCCTCACCCCCCACAACCCGTGCTTGGTCCCCTCACCCCCCACAACCCGTGCTTGGTCCCCTCACCCCCCACAACCCGTGCTTGGTCCCCTCACCCCCCACAACCCGTGCTTGGTCCCCTCACCCCCCACAACCCGTGCTTGGTCCCCTCACCCCCCACAACCCGTGCTTGGTCCCCTCACCCCCCACAACCCGTGCTTGGTCCCCTCACCCCCCACAACCCGTGCTTGGTCCCCTCACCCCCCACAACCCGTGCTTGGTCCCCTCACCCCCCACAACCCGTGCTTGGTCCCCTCACCCCCCACAACCCGTGCTTGGTCCCCTCACCCCCCACAACCCGTGCTTGGTCCCCTCACCCCCCACAACCCGTGCTTGGTCCCCTCACCCCCCACAATCCCTGTGCTTGGCCCCCTCACCCACTCACCCACCACAACCCCTGAGCCTGGTCCCCCTAATCCACCACAATCCTTGGCAGCATCAGGAAGTACTCCCCATGTCTGAGGCGCAGAGATGGTTTTATGGAGAGCAAGCAAACTGCTGTGGACTGCCTTCAGCATGTGAAGCCTTCACAAGGGCTACTAAAGATACACTCATCCTAGGACCCCACCCAAAAGACCCTTCCCCTCAGAGTCCCCCTCTACCACAAATTCAAGTGTGGAAATCATGTACGGAGACAGCTGCTACCTCTTGCCGGAACTCAACAGCTTCACGTCCGTCCTCCTCTTTGGTCTTCACCAGTGACATCTTGACCCAGGTGCGGAAGCCTCCCGAGAACTTCCAGCTGGAGTAGGCACTCTCACAGGCCTGCATGAAGCCCGCCTTGTCTGAGCTTGGGGAAGAGAGAGGGAAAGTCCAGGTTAACCCAGGCCTGACCAATGGAGCCCAGTGTAGCAAAAGCAAACTGTGTCAATCTGGTTTCTTTTCTGGTACAATCAGGATGCTATGGGTTCCCTGCTCTCTCTCCAGAATCTGGTAGGGGCAAGCAGGCTATAAGCAGAGAAGGTGCTGGCAGGGAGACAATGAGGCCGGGACTCAGAGATCCAGGGTGGGAAGGACCACAGAGGCAGTAAAGGTGCCTCCTGTTCAGATGGACGTCACCTCCTGCCACTGTGACTTATCTTCCAACATCACAGAAATGGAGCCGTAGCCCGGCAAGGGACAGGCCGGAGTATTCCTGTTTTCTACTAAGTGTTTTAGTCCCCAAGAGGGCACTGAATGTTCCCCTAGTGTTTGCAAACAGCAGGAGCTGTCGGTGGGCAGGGATCTGCAGACACAAGGCTCCTGGGCCATATAGAGGGCAGCTCCTTCCAGGGACAACCAAGAGTCCCCTCCAGGAGTGCACTGCATGCAGAGGGCAAGAACTCAGCATCCACACTTGGTCAATGTAATGGGCCGCCCGGCTCTTAGGGTAGCTCCTATCCTGAGCCAGGCCTGCTCCCCTCCGGCCTCCTTCACCCCAACATTTCCAGCATGGACGTGCACAAGGCAGGAGACAGGCCCCATGGACCCTGGACGACCACCTGCGCATGAACTCCTGGAAAGAGGAGAAGAGCAGGTAGTCGATGGCACTGAAGTCCTCGTTGCTCTGGCTCAGGCGGAACTGCAGGAACACCAGCTCCCGCTTCCTCACGTCCTGTGGCCCCTGGACAATCAGGGCCGACTGCTGCGGGGAGACAAAAGCCAGAGCCTTAGTGCTCGGAGCTGCACACTTCCCCGATGCTCACACAAGCCCACAAGCACTGCCCAGCAAACCCTCCCGCCCAGGGATGCAAGCTGGCCAGGGGGACTTCTCAGCACAGCGCCCAGAGCCCAGCTGAGTGTGACACACATTGTCCCTTTTCACAGGCTGCCCACGCAGTGGAACACCTTTACTGGGTAAGGTTGGTGCTTGCTCTTGCCTGTTTCGTGCCAAATAGTGGTCCAAGGGTGCCTGCCTAACACTCTCCACCCATGGGAGCACTATGCAGCTGTGGGCAGGGAGCACCTGAGGTTCCTGCAGCAGGCCTGTCCCCACACCTGAGCAGAGGGCCGTCCCTCAGCTGCTCTGAGGCCTGGCACCCAGAGAAACACTTTCCTAGACAGTCCTGGCGTCACAGCATCAGCCATGCTCCAAATTCCGTCACTCAGTCATACTGAGCTGGGGGCCAGAGGCCGGCACTTCCCAGCAGTCCTGTCCTGGGTTATGAGCCTTCTCTGATTGGCCAGCTCCATCAACCAGTTCCAATCAGTAATCTGCACCGTACACTAGCTCCTCCAGCCTTCTGGTCTACCAGGGTGCAGGGGCTGTCCTCGTGCCCCTATCCTATCCTGTTTTGTAAGGAGTAGAAATCACTCAGTCTGGCTTTAGGAGGTGACCTGGGAACACTCAGCTCGACTATCAGTACAGTCCCTTCTTCTCTAACTTATGGTGGTTCCTCTCACCCAAAGGGGTAGGGCAGGCCCCACAGCAGGACACACTCACTGCCCTTTGCTTTTGTCCCTAGCCACATCTCAGTCGCATACTCCTGCAAGGCCCTCTAAACCACCCCCACCATCCCCTGCCCAAATGCACGTCCTCTCAATCACCACAGCCACTGTTCTGCTGTCAGCCACTGTTCCGGTGAGGAGACATGACCAAGGCACCGCTTATAAAGCAAAGCATTGATAACTCCTATAAAAGAAAGCCAGGGACTTGCTTGCAGCTTGAGAGGCTTTGGTCCACTATCACCATGGCAGGGAACATGGCACCACACAGGCAGGCATGGCGCTGGGCAAGTAGCTAAGAACTACATCCTGGTCCACAAGGAGAGAGAGAGCAAGCCATTGGCTTGGCATGAGCTTTTGAAACCTTAAAGCCCACCCCCAGTGACACACCTCCTCCAACAAGGCCACACCTCCTAATCCTTCCCCAATGGTTCTACGAACTGGGAACCAAGCATTCAAACATAGGGCCTATGGGAGCCATTCTCATTCAAACCACCACATCAGCGATGTCCTATGCCCAGGAAGCTTTTGTTCTGATGGGAAGCTCTCATATGGCCCCCTCTTGGAGGAGGGAAAATCCTACCCAAGAACACAGCATGCTCATGGCTGAGCCGTGCTCTGTGATGGATATGGGGTGCCAGTGGTCCCCACCCCCAGTGCACATCACCTCCACACGGGCAAATCCCTCAAAATACGATTCCGAGGCCCCATCCACAGGAATGGTGACAAGTCCTGCAAACTGGAATTTTAGGTGACCTGCAGCCCTGCCACCCTCCCCTCAGCAGGAAGCCCTGAGGGTTATCAGCCCCAAGGGCACACACCTCATGCGTCTCACCTACCAAGAAGACCGTGCCTACAAGCTATGAGAGAAGGAAGGCTATAACCCCTAGAGGATGTGGCCAGCAGAACGCAACCCAGGGAAACCAGCTTTGTTACCATGGTATGATTGGAGAAGGGATTCGTGTAATTGACCCTCTGGGTGGTGCAGTTCCTGTCTCCGGGCTGGCCAGGGCTGGCAAGAGGTGGGATGACCTCATAGTGGTGCTTACAGCTGAGCAGTTGAGCCTGACCGGGGTAGAGGGCAATCCCTGGAACAAACAGAAATCAGTGGGTGTAAGAAGTCACAGCCCTGAGCACGCCACCTCACCTCACACCTACCTCCTCGGGAAAATGCTGAGGAGGTAGCAGCAAAGGGGTAGAGGGCACACACCCCCTCAGTCACTCCTCACCCCGCCTGGAATATGGCTTCCAGGGCTCCAACACTCCACCAGAGCACCTCATGGCACAGCACCGCCTCCCAGGCCCCGGCTGTCTGTCTGGTGCTGCAAAGGCTCTGGGCTGTAGGGTTCCCCAGAGCACAGTTTTCTGCTCTGCCCGGCGCTTCAAGAACACGCACCACAGAGTGTCCTGTGTGCGCTCAGCTGAGGCTCCTAGGTCAGGACTCGGGCGCAGAAACGCTGACGACAACATGGTGTCAAGGCAGAGCTGAGGTTCGAGTAAACACTGCCAGAAAGAACCACAAAGCCACAGACACAGCCACACCAAGGCAAGAAGCAAATGATCAGGCCTGGAGCAGGGCGATGTCCGGGAGCTCCAGGCAGGGGGACTCCCGACTCTGGTTCTAGCCTGTGGGCAGGATGTCCTGGTGTCACTCCTCACTCCGGCCACAGCTCACATTCCACCTCTAACACAACAGATCACCCACTATGGCAGACAACAGTCCTCAGGGTCAGCCATGCCAACATGCAGAGGAAGGAACACAACAGCCTGGAGCCCTCTAGGCTGGGCCCTCCCTGAGTGTGCGCCTCCCTCTAACCCCGAATGTGTGCCTCCCTCCAACCCCGAGTGTGTGCCTCCCTCTAACCCCGAGTGTGTGCCTCCCTCTAACCCAACCCCGAGTGTGTGCCTCCCTCTAACCCCGAGTGTGTGCCTCCCTCTAACCCAACCCCGAGTGTGTGCCTCCCTCTAACCCCGAGTGTGTGCCTCCCTCTAACCCCGAGTGTGTGCCTCCCTCCAACCCCGAGTGTGTGCCTCCCTCTAACCCCAAATGTGTGCACCCCTCTAACTCAACCCCGAGTGTGTGCACCCCTCTAACCCCGAGTGTGTGCCTCCCTCTAACCCTGAGTGTGTGCCTCCCTCTAACTCTGAGTGTGTGCACCCCCCCTAACACTGTGTGCCTCCATATGCTAGCACCTTCCTAAGCCCTGCTCCCACCTTGTGGCTCACTGCCTGTGCTACTCTGAATAAAAATGGCCCCTGGGCGCCTGTGTTTGAATGTTTGGTCTCCAGTTGGTAGAACTGTTTGGGAAGGATTGGGAGGTGTGGCCTTGCTGGTGGAGGTGTGTCACTAAGGGCGGGCTTGAGGTTTCAAAAGACTGATGCTGCTCCCAGTGTTCTCTCTGCCTCCTGCTTTCCATTCCAGCTATGAGATTCCAGCTGTTCCTACTTCTGCTCCGCCACAACAGCCTCTAACCTTCTGTAACTGTAAGCCAATCAGATGCCTTCTTTTATAAGTTGCCTTGGCCGTGCTGTTTTGTTTTGACAATGGAAAAGGAACCAACACACTGCCCTTTTTCCCTGGACTTCAGTTCTAGGCAGAGTTCTCGCCTCTCTCCCAAGAGGACCACTGCCTCCCTATACACACCCAGGGCCCTGCTCCTCCTCCTAACAAAACCTGGCTCTCCTGCTAACCTTCCTGCCCACCCAGGGCTCCATGGCCTGGCACTGGCTCTCTGATGCATGCCTACAACTGAGCGCTGTCCGCTCCACTCTGCCTGTGCTGGGAACACAATGGTGGCTCAGGGAGGCAATGCTTGCTAAACAAAACCCCAGAGCTGGAGCGCTGAAGCCTGGCCCAGCAGGCCCTACCTGGGGCATCATAGCGGTCCACCTCCTTGTAAGACACAGACATGACAGGGTGTTTGAGCTTCTCTCGGAAGTCAGTGATGGTCTGGTAGACCAGGAAGACGGCCACAGCCATGAGCAGCAGGTAGATGAGGATGAGCAGGACGGAGAAGACGTTCTTTAGGCAGGCCTTGCTGAAGCGGATGGTGCTGGAGGCAGACTCGCTGTCCACGCCTGCTGACAGGACAGCAGAGAGTCACAGAGCAGCCAGCAATGGTCTGCTTCCTCGAGGCCTTCGCCTAACAAGCTGTCTGCAGGGACCGGCAGTCTCGGTCAGTCAGGCCCACATTCTGTCCCCTCCCCTGCTTAACAACTTCCCTTTCTTTCAATGCTGGAACTGCTCATATCTGCCGTTCCGAGGCCTATTCTGAAGCACTGCTCATAACCACCCTACCCTGTTTTCACCTAGAAATGCCCTTTCCCAAGGAAACCTTCCCTTGGTGGCTAATCTGACTCAGTCTCCATGCCGAGCAATGTACTCATGTCCCTCTGATACGTGATACTGACGCCATACAACCAGCAACCACGTCTAAGCCAAATAAACCATGTTCTCAAAACCATGAGCCAAATAAACCCCTCCTTCTTTTAGGTGTTTCCATCCCAGAGACCAGCACCGCAGCGCCTCGACCTCAGACACAGGCACCAGGTGTGTGAACATGTCAGGGGGTTCCCTGATAAGAGCCACATGGGACGGTGCTTGCTACGGCAGCCTGGTTCACCTTCCCATGGTGCTTCTGCCCTTCAGTTCACACCACAGCTCCCTGAGGAAAAGGCCAGCTGTCCCTGTGGCTGTGGCTTCCAACAGGGACCGAGCGTCATGGTCATACCACCTGCCTCAGATAATAAATGACCATAAGATCTGAACGGTGTCTTGAAATTTAATGAAGGCATTAGAAAATGGGCAAACGCAGGTTGACAGAGGGAGGGGAATCTACCCCTGGAGAGAAGAATGGCCCCATGGAGATGCATGAGTGCCTAACTTCTTGCCTGAAGGCTTATACCAACCCCCTAATGATATGGTTCAGGGTGACAGGGTTCAGGGCTGAAAGTCAAGGGGAGATCCCCAAAGTAGAAAAGTCCCAGAGAGATGAGATCCCTAATTATGCAAATAATTGATATGCTCAAATCACTGCCTGGAGGTCCCAAGGGCTGGAAGAGCAGAGCTGAAGTATGAAGAGAAATGGGCAATTCCAGCTGCTACCATGGAAGGCAGTCAAGCCTCAGAGCGTCCACCTTGCCATGCCACTGCTGAGACAAAAGTTCTTCAACCACAGAAGAGTCCAGAACCTACAGCTGTGACAGCTGCTCTCCCCAGGAGACAAGCCTCTGGAGACTAGGGCTTTCCAGAGAGGATTGACCACGGTGAGAGGGAGCATCCAGGTGGGAGGACTGCAGAGGGAGGGATGACCTGCAGCCAAAGTGAGCGCCATCTGCCAATGGGCTGCCCAGACAGGAAGAGCCCTGAGGAGAAGGGAGCATGGCCTGCCTGTTCGGCTGCTTCTTGAGTGAACACTGTCAAGCCCTGCTATGCCTAACTCCAGTTCCCCAGGCCTTCCAACGCAGACAGACCTCCAGCAGCTCCCCTGGAAGCTTCCAGGTACCTAGCACCTAGCACCAGGGGAACTGCCAAAGCACCAAGCTCTGTGAACTAAGCAGGTACCAGGTTCTCTGCCTCTCCTGCAGGCAGACAGACATGCTGGACTTTATCATGTAAGCCAGTCTAACAAATGCTCTTTGATACACATGTACACACACACACACACATACACACAGAGACACACACACATTCTATTAGTTCTGTTCACCTAGAAGAACACGCCTAATACATCAGTGTTCAATTAAAATTACTATGCATGAGGGGCTGGAGAGATGGCTCAGTAGTTAAGAGCACTGGCTGCTCTTACAAAGAACCTGGGTTCAATTTCTAGTACTGATGTAAAAGGCTTCAGGAACCCAGACAGACACGACTAGGAGACATCTTCACCATGGAACTGTTTCAGCCAGAAGCACAGGCGTAATTATGTGACACAAAATATCAGCTTCCAAAATTTAAGACTTTTAATTTTGGGGATGCGTGTCCTATGTGCCGGGGAAGGTGCCTACAAACACCAGAAGAGGGCGCTGAGGCTCCCAGAGTTAGAGCTACAGGTGACATGGGTGCCGGGAAACACCCTCAGGTCCTCTGCAGATTATAAGTGGGAGGAATGAAAGTCAGGTGGAGTCAAGTGAGGTGGCCCCATTTTTATGTAACCCAAGCAACCAGAAAGCCAAGAACCAGGAGGTCTCAAGGCCGGCCTGGACTTGTGACCCGGTGTCAAAAAGGAGCTCCCAACAGCAAGTATCTCCATCAACACAGGGACACGGGGCTGCAGGGACACCGGCCCTTTCTCTATCACAAGGCCAGATCCTGATCCCACAGAGGAAGCCAGACTGAGGGAACAGGGGTGGAGAGTTGCTGGGGCTTGCTACGTTCTAGCCTAAGCCAAGAAACATGAGTTCCCAGCTGCAGGGGAGACCCTACGTCAAAGAAACAGACAACAGATGGGCAATGCTACAGGAGGCTATGCCTTGCCCTCTTCTGCCCTGCATAGACGTAAGCACACGTGCCAACACAGTAATAATGACAAGGGCTGCAGAGTGGCTCAGGAGTCACAAAGCACTTGCTGTTCCAGAGGACCCAAGTTCAATTCCCAGCACTCACTTCAAATGGCTCACAACTGCCTATAACTCCTGCTCCAGGGGATCCAACACCCTTTTCTGGCCTCCATGGGCTGCTTCCCACATACATATGTACATAAAAGTAATAAATAGAGCCTAACGGTGGCGGCAGCACACGCCTTTAATCCTAGCACTCGGGAGGCAGAGGTAGGCAAATCTCTCTGAGTTCCAGGTCAGCCCGGTCTATGGTATTCCAGGGTTACAAAGAGAAACCCTCTCTCAACTCTCCCCACTAATCTCAAAACATGTTTACATTTTTATAAAAATCCCAAATAGGCAACTTTTTGTTTTGTTTCTCTGTGTAGCTTTGGAGCCTATCCTGGAATGCATGGGGAAAGGGAGGACTCTGGAGGCCTCCAGCCACCCCCATGGGGGAGGGGGGGGGGGGGGGGGGGGAAAGCCCAGCAATTAGAGCACTTGTTGTGCTTGCAGAGAATGAATTGATTTCCAGCACCCACACCAAGGGCAGAGGGCAGACAACCACCTGTAACTCCAGCCCAAGCCAGCACCCTCTTCCAGTTCCCTCAGGCACCCACACGCATGTGCACACACAGACACAAGCACAGTCACACAAATAAAAATAAAATTTTAGGTCAATGAAATAAATTTCTTTTTGAAAAATTAAAAGAACTAAATCCAAAGTTAGGGTAAGAGTTAACAGAGATCAGAGAATATGTAAATAGAGGTTAAAGAAACAAAACGCAGGGCCCAGGGTTGTCACTGGTCACAACTGTGATCCTGGCACTCAGGAGGTGCAAGCAGGAAGACAGGGAACTAAGGCCACCCTCCCCTATACAACAAGGACAGCCTGAGATGCATCAGACCCTCAAAAAATTAAAATAAAAACATGAAGAAAGAGGAGAAATACTATGAGATTCAGCGATACACCATTGTACCCGGAGAAGACAAAATCAGGTTACTCACAAAAGCCAAGAATTGGAACCAATCTAAAGGTCCAGGGCTGGGGAGAAGGTTCAGCCAATCACACAGACGGATCCAAGCCCAAGCCTAGGACTGTAAGTGTAAAAAAGCCAAGTCTTGAGGGTCATGCTTGAAATCCCAGAGCTGGAGAGGTTGAGAAGGAATCTCTCTGGGGGCTCCATGGCAGGCAGTCTTGCCTACACAGTGAGCTCCAGGCCAGTGAGAGACCCTGTCTCAAAAAAGGCACAGTAGAGACAGGAGTGGCATGGACCTACAAGTGGACCAGGAGACCCAACTGTAACAAATCAAGTCTGGAAGCTCAGATATTTAAAAATTACCACACAAGGCAAGGTACCTCCTGGTGTGGATCCTCAGTGGCTGGAAAGGGAAACTGGGTCACAAGTTGTTGGGTCACTGTCGTGTGAGTAGATCAATTACAAGATAACAATCTAGAAGTTCCCTGGCAGTCTGATGGCTCCCTGCCTCGTGGAGTGAATTTCAGTCAGAAGAGAACAACAGTGAAGACATCCCATATATTTATGCAGATAAACCAAAATCTTAGTTAGGGTAGGTAGGATTACAAGTTCCAGCCATCCTCAGAGAGTTCAAGACCAGCCTGGGCTACATAAGACCTTATCTAAACAGGAAGTCTGAATCTTTTCATTTGTGATGGGGATGGACCTACAAACAGACACAGAAAGGCAAACATCACACAAGCTCACTCACGTGGAAATGGCTGGCCTCACCAGAGGAGAAAAAACAATGGGTGCCAGACATAGGGAGGGGAGCATGAGAAAGGTGAGCCCACAGGGTCTCAAGACACAGGAGACAGGAGCCATGTGTCCCCAGGCCCTCCTGTACGCCAGGGACTTCCGGTTAGCAGCGGTGAGCCACATATTTCAAAATAACCACAAGAGATTTTCAATGCTTTTACCACAAAGGAGTGAGAATGTTATGAGACAATGCAGTAACCACCATGGTGAACTCACCACAGAGCGTACACAGGTACTGAAATACCACAGCGAACCTCCCAATTACGGACAACTGTGTGTCAATTTAAAAATAAGCCAGACCAGGGGGGTGGCTTTGTGAACAAAGACACTTGCAAGCCCAACAGCCTGAGTTCAATTCCTGGAACCCACACAGTGGAAGATGCAACTCCCCCAAGTTGTCCCCTGACCTCCACAATGCCCACCCTCACACAAAATAGATGTTAAAAAGAAAAAAAAAAAAAGTCAGTCAATAGGGGTCAGAGTATCTGAGTCTGTTTCCATGCTCCACCCAGCCTGAGTCTGCAGCCCTTATCTATAAGAACGAGGGAACCATCTTGCAGAGTTCCTTTGAGAATTAAAAGGGGTGGGGGTGGGGGTGGAGGGGAGGCAGAGTCTGGCATGGGGGAGCAGTGGCAAACAGTGGCCGCGCTGCCTTCTTTCTTGGTCTCCTCTAAGCAGTGAGCAGAATGACAGGACTTCCTCTCCCCACAGACAGAGGAACCAAGAGAACAGAACACATCTCCCAGCTCACTCTCGGAGCTAAGAACCAGGCAGGGACCCTTTCCACTCCATCACACACCCCCCCCCACACACACACACACACACACACACACACACACACACACACACACACGCTCACCCACACGCTCACCCACACAACCACTCACCCACACATACACACTCATACACTCATTCACTCACTCACCCCTACACTCACCCACACATACTCATACTCACCCACACACCCACACTCACACACACACATAATCATACTCACCCACACACGCTCACCCACTCATACACTCACACTCACCTACACTCACACACACACCCAGTCACCCACACACCCACTCATTCACTCATTCACACACCAACTCACACACACACTCACTCACCCATTCACTCACCCCCACACTCACTCACCTACACACCTACACACTCACCCACACACTCATTCACACACCAACTCACACACCTACTCACCCACACACTTACTCACCCACACACCTCCCCAGCTCACTCAAGGAGCAGACACCAGTCAGGGACTCCTCCCACCCACACTGTCTAGCCAAGGCTAAGGTAAACAGCTGTGACTATGTCACCAGGCTTCACTGGAGAACAGACACTGGTGGGTGACGGACAGAGGAACCTCCCTCCAACAGCAATACTGCAGAGGACAGGAGTGCAGAGGACAGGGACATGACCCTGCCAGCACTGGGGAGCCAAGGAATGATTAGGCATTAACTAGGAAAGGAAAGGAAGCGCTTGCCCCACAAGCCTAGCAACCTGAGCTTACCCACAGGAGCCCATGTTAAAGGTGGATGGCAAGAACTAGGTCCACAGGGTTGTCCTCTGATCTCCACGCACACGCCATGGCCTTCAAGCCGTCACATACATGTGTCCCTGTCTTGTGCACACCCCCAAAACAATAATTTAAATTTTAAAGGGGGCTAGCTGAAGAGGTGGCTCAGTGGCTAAGAGCCCTTGCTGCTTTTACAGAGGACCCAAGTTCCCCTTCCCAGCGTCCACGCCAGGTGCTCACACCGACCTCAACTCCAGCTCCAGGGCATCTGATGCCCTCTTCTCGCACCCCCCCCCCCCGTATGTGGCATACATTTACACAGACACACACCAACAATATATAAATAAAAACAAGTCTTTAAAAAAGGAGCCAGAGAACTTCAGAAAGAGAAATGAAACAGCAAAGGTGGCCTCTGCTGGGCGGACGGGGCTCTAAGACACAAAGGCCTGGTTAGAGGAGACCACTGGGCTAAGGATGGAAGCAAGGAAGTTAAGCCAAAGAAGAATCTGAAACAGGAGCCCTGGTGAGCTCACCCACCAGATAGCAGTCCTGGAGAGGGCTGACAGGAGCTCTTCTACAAGGCTCTGAGACATGATCAAGACATTGCAGTCTGTCACACTGCCCAGCCCCTCCTCAGGGAAGAGGGATGCCTGGCCTCAGGAACTCATTAAAACCCACCATCAAGAATGCAGGCCTTGGGGGGAGGGTTGGGGGGAGAGGGAGAAGGGATTGACATGTGAAGCAAGCTTGTTGCTAATTTGAACTAATAAAAAAAAAATAAAAAGAATGCAGGCCTTGAGCAGGCACAGGCATCCTACACCCGGAGGCTGATTAAATATGTGGCGTTTTAGAACTGGGGCAGACCTTGAGACCCAACACCAGGGGACAAGTGTGGGGGAGAGGAGGCTGCCACTCCCTCGGCTGGCAAGGCGCCTGGCTGGGCCTCCTGCAGTGGTGGCAGCAGCAACAGCACAGCCAATGTCTAGCACCCTAAACCCACTTACCTGGCAAGACCCCTGGACCTTGGACTTGGACTGGCTCCTTGTCCCGCTCGTCTGCCTGCTCTGAGTTCTCAACGACCTGGTCCAACTCCTCACTGAGCTAAAGGAGAAGAAAGGAGTTAGCAGCTCAGCTGAGGCAGCCTTGCCTTTTCAAGGCTAAAAAGCAGAAGCTACCATTCACATAACTGTCACACTTACACAAAGACCACATGACATGGGATGTGTGAGACCATTTCTACTGTCTTCTCTCACAGCCCGAGCCTGGGAAACTAAAGTTTTCAGCAGGGCTGGCTCCCTCCGAGTTGTGAGGGAGACTTGTTCCCAGCCTCTCTCCTAGCTTCTGGTGACAGCCAGCAACCCCTGGCATTCTGTTGTCTAACCACTGCCTCCATCTTCACAAGGTCCCCATGTAGTGTGTGCCCCTCTGGGGGTGCGTTTTTGAGGACACTCAACCACACTGGATTTGGGGCCCAGTACAACCTCGTCTTTGTGTGATACACCTGAGTGGCTATTTCCAGTTCCAAACAAGACAAGAACTGGAGTTACACTTCCACATCCCCCCCCCCCTCCTGGGAAACACCAAACCACAGCCACAGAGGCAGTCAATGAAGCAGGAGTCACTCCACCTTGGTCTAGTTCCCAAGCCCATGGTCTTAACCACTTCCCAGAGGAAGAGGAAATGTGGCTTAGACTGTGCTCAGAGAGAATTGAGAACAACGAAGCTGGTGTCAGAGCTTGTGGGGACTCGAAAGCCCACAGATGTGGGGTGCAAATGGCAGAACAGGGTGAGGGATGCCTAGGTGACAAGAGTTAATTAGCAGGTGACAAGCGTTAATTAGCAACAGGGTACCAGGCAATGCAACCCATCACCGTCCTCACCTAACCTGCCAGATGGGGGAAATCTTGGCATTGAGGAAGCAGAGATTAGGGTAAGCGCCCTAAGACTTCAGGAAGGAGGCAGTGAAGTCAGTTTGGAGAGATTCCATCCAACTGGGAGGGGCAATAGCTTTTCCCAGGCTTAACATGTGATCAAGTAAAGTTACAAGGTACACCCCTCATCCCCCTACTCCTCCACCCCTGAGACAGGGTCTCATGTAACCCAGGCTGGCTTCAAACTCACTACGGTGGAGAATGCCCTTGAATTTTTGACTCTTCTATGTCCACCTACTATGTGCTGAGCTTAAGCACTAATCAAGTGCTGCACGAGCTCAGCTACAAACAGCCCCAGTCCTCAGGGATCTTTCAAATTCATCCCAGATGATTTAAGTTAAAGTCTCAAGAGAGACAATGGTCCCAGGAAAACTGGAACTCCTCGGGGCCAAGCCTGGCCCAAGTCACCTTGACCCAGGCCTGGCGACACCACCTCCCCCCCACCTCCCCTTCCTGACACACAGCAGTCATCAGAAGCCTTTGCCTGTGCCCAGCCAAACTTCTCAGAGTGTCCCCCATCCTGGAGCGCCAAAACCTCCCCTCAGCAGAGTCAGGTTGACTCTCACAACCAACCCAGGCAAGAAAGACGCAGGCCAATCTCTGGGTTCTCTTCCTGGGACTTCAAAACAGACCTGAAGAAGGTAAAGGCCCTTCTAGAGCCTTCCACCCGTTGGGCATGACTCCAGCGAACATCGGATTCCACCTGTGGCCTTGCTCTGCAAGCAGAACAGCAGCCCGTGCTTCAATAAAACATCTTCTAAGCCCTGCTAAGTAAGGAGATACCCGCCATGTGTGGCTGGACCGCGGTCCTCTGAAGCCAAGTCCCCCAAACGCCCCAGAAGCAGGACCTGACCACTGACTGCATCCTGTTATTCACTCGGGGTCACTAACTCAACCGGGCGCTGAGCTCAGCACTCGTTTGGAGACCGCGAGTTTCCAGCTGCTGGGCTGGGGAAAGCTGCTGAGAAGCGTGGGCCGCTCCGGTTGGACAAGGTCTAACGGTGTGGGGCGGCTGCACCGCCCGAGCAAGCCTGGAGAGCGGAGGCAGACGGCCT